GACCAGACGACGGCGGAAGGGTGCCCAGAGCATGGCCCTTCTCTGTGCAGCCCGCTGGAGCTTCAAGAGTTGCCACTTATCAGGTCCTTCAGCACCAGGTCGTAGGCGGGACTCCTCGCGGAGCCGAGCAGCAGCTGCAGCACGTTGACGCTCATGCCAAGCGAGGTGGAGGAGCCTGCAATCCCTCTCAAAGTCCTCCGCCGCCTGCAGGGAGACCACATCGGAGGGACTGATAGCGAGGTGCTTCGCGCCCATCTCCGTCGAGCGCACGAGGCGGAGCGCCAGCTGCACATCCTGACGCCATATCGCTCTCGCGATGGCTCGTGCCGTGAGGCGACGGCCATCAGTCGCATCCTCGCTCCCGTCACCCAGGGGCAAGGCCTGAATCTCGTTCCTGGTCAGGCGCGCCGCCTCGGTCATGACTTCTTTGACCAGCTGCCATCGAGAACCAATCTCCAGGGAGTCCAGCTCAGCCACGTCCAGGAGGGCCTTCACGTGCTTCTTGAAGCGGTCCGTGTTGAAGATGTTCGGCGGGATGGGCTGCTCATTCACTGGGGTCTGGGCACGAGTCCAGATCTTCAGCTGGATGATGGCGTGGTCGCTGAGGCCCCAGTCAGCAAGCTTCGCAGCCTCCTGCCATATCTCAAAGGAGACCGCAGTGCTCAGGATGGAGTGCGATTTCAGCGAGACAAAGGCGCGGTCAATGAAGGAGCACGTCTGGTGCTGCTTGGAGAAGTGGGTGGGGAGCTCACAGGTAATCTCTGCCAGGGACTGCTGGAATAGAGCTCTCCAGAAACCCTGACCTTGGTTCCCCCGATGCCAAACCGAGCGGCTGTTACCCACTCTTCTTGTCCTATCCCTCGAGGCAGCAGACGAGGTCGTGGAGGGCGAGGAGCCGCTGGAGGACGCCGAGGCAGCACGCGGTGGCGATCTGGGGAGAGCGCCAGGGGCCTGGGGCAAACCAGCGGCGGTGGGCTGCTCGAGGGACAGCGGCTCAATGTCAGCTATGTTGAAGTCGCCAATAGCTAAGAAAATGCGGTGTCTTTCGTCTTCTTGTGCCCAGCGAGCCCCATCCATCCAGCAACGCTTGATGGAGGCAAAGGAGCCGTGCGGGACGTCATAGTTGTGGATGTTCAGGATGCGGACATGCTCATCAGTGTTCACGTTGGAGATGGAGAGCTCGGCTACTCGCCCTGGCACAAGTGTCTTCATAGAAGTGGAAGGTAGTAAGTGCGGGTCGATGGAGCGCAACTCTGCCTCTGAGAACCACGGAACCAGGAAGGCCAAGCCGCCAGAGCCTGGGTTCGGGCCCGCTGAGAAGAAGGGGAGGTAGTGGTACGGCATCTGGGCGAGGAGAGTCCTGAGCTTGATCTCCGAACCATGCGTCTCCTGCACCACAATCAGATTGCGAAGCTTCATCAACTGGCCCAGACGATCCAGCTTGGCCTTGCGCTTGTGGGCCCGGTGGCAGAGGAGTCCATTGGCATTCCATGACGCAATGCAGAGCCCCTTGCTGGCTGACGAATCAGTACCTCGGGCAGGGGACAAGACCCAAGGCAGCCAGCGTGGGCTAGGAGCACGACCAGGTGGAGGTGTCAACCTCCGAAGACGACGCCGTGGCCTCTGTGAAGTGCTCCGTGATGTTGCGACGGTAGTCCGCGCGGAGTGAACGATCAGCTTCAGGGTGCCAGTAGAGCTTGGACGACTCGTGGAAGCCCTGTGGTACAACCTCAATGAGTGGGACGGCGTTGGCGCAGAGGATGCCTTTGGGACGGATGGCGGTCCACTCGAGGTGCTTGCCATCGACGTCAGACCAGTCTTGGACGAGGATGTTGAGAAGGCGCTTGGTGTGCATCTCGCGTCGAATCTGCCGAGGGGCTTTATCAGCACCCACGTGGAGAGTGACTCGTCTGCCATCTGGGGCCGCCACGGTGAAGTTCCGCCAACCTCCACCAGGGAGCCGTAAGGCTCGGGCCAGGGCCATGGCTCGAGGTGTGCCCGCACCACCAGCTCCTTTGACATGAACGAAAAAGCGCCTGGCTGGGACAGAACCCCCCACAACCTCGATGAACTCGGCGCCCACCTTTGCAGCAACGATCCAGTCCTCAATAGCAGCTCTGACGGCGGCGCCCGTGACCATGCTCTGGCAGTTGGCCGTGAAGAGGAGCGGATCAGCCTCGCGGTCGTACTCAGCAAGCTTGGCCATGTCCGTGGCGCCGAGCTGGCGCTCCGCCAGGGAGAGGCTGGCGCGAATCTCCTCGACCTGCTGGCGGAGCTTCGCATTGTCCCGCTCCATCTCGTTCTGCCGACTTTTGATCTGATGTACCTCATTGGACTGTGCAGCGATGCTCTTCGCGAGAGGGTCGACGTAGTTGGCCATCTCCTGGACGAGAGCCTTCTGGGTGTTAGCCATCGCGTTCGTGCAGAGCTGTTGCATGTCGGAAACCGTAGAGTCCATGCGCTGCTGGACCAGGCGCATGAGATGCTGTTGGAAGTCGCTGGCCACGTCAGCGCCACCCGCGTCAGCAGCACCACCAGAGGCGTCCGCGGCAGCGCCTCCAGGGGTGGCAGGCCCTGCAATAGGGGTGGCAGGGATCGCATCGGCATCAGCTCGACTGGCGAAGGTGGGCATGACCTCGAGGGCGGCAACGTCCTGGGAGGAGAGGCGGCATGGACCAGCATCAGCCCACGGGTCACGAGTTTGGAGTGCATCTCTGGGTGAGGCGCCACCCTGCTGGCCCGCCCATTGCGGGGCAGCAGCCAGGCCGTTAGGCGCAGACAGGGGACGATCTCGGCGATGTTCTCGTGGAAGTTCTTCCCGAGGTCGGCGGCGAGCACCACGTTCTGCGAGAGCAGATTCTGTACCACCTCGGGGTCGACGGTTACGTTGGCGGGGCTGATGTTCTCCTCCGCTGCGGCTGTTGGAGCCCCTTCTCTGGGGTCCTTCACGGCAAGTATCAGAGTCGTCAGAATCCATGCAATAGAGGAAGAAAGTCGTATCTGAGAAAACAGAGTCGTGACTGAAAATATGGATGACCTCACGGAGAGGGGACTCGATCAGCACCTGTGTCGCGGGCCGCGCTGTCGAGCCCCCATAGGCTGACCTGTCCAGCTGACTTGACAGATGGATTACTTGAGCCAAAATGGCTACGGAGGAGGAGGAGGAGGAGGAGGAGGAGGAGGATGGAGAAAGAGGAGGGGGAGGAGGATGGAGGAGGAGGAGCAGCAGGAGTAGTCGCGTCGAGTCGAATCGGCCCTGGGACGCGGTCAAGTGTCACAAAGGAGCAGTGCAGCAAACTTTTCTGCACGCCACGCTGTGGCCTTCTATAGAACCGGAAGCCACCCGAGCGACCATGGCCACTCGGGCGCCCGCCCGCGCTGCCCCTGCGGGGGTGGCGCGCACCACAGGCGCGCAGCCCTGGGCGGATATCCTCTGTGGGGACCAGCTGATTACGAGGAGGATGGATCAACAAAACAAAAATCCGCCGACCCCTTGTGGGTCTCCAGGCGTGTGAAATGGTTCCCCCCATAATCCTCCAGGTCCGTTCCAAAACTGCGCGTTCGAGGGGGGCGGGGGGGGCGTCTGGTGGCTGCGAGGCGGCGCCAAATATTCAAGATGGGGCCAACAAGCAAAACATCAGACATACGTCAACCTTCGGACTTCGAACCTCGAAACCCCATCCCCCGGTTCAAAACATCTATCCCTGGACCGCTCCTTGGCTGCATTCTGCCTCCAGAAAGCGAACCCGGATCCTCGAACATCGAACCCCAGTAATGTCAGCTTGTGATTGACAAATCCGTAGGGGGCGCGTGTTCAAAAAAATGATTCCCCTGCTCACTGCTCGGGCGAATCGCGGGGTGGCGCCCGCCAAGTTGGATTAGCGCCGACGCCCATCCGCCAGCGAGAAGGCGACAGACAGCACAGACTGCGGGAAAGTGAGGGGGGCGGGAGGCAAAGGCGGCAGAAGCAGGGACCGTGAGCCAGGGTGACACCTGTTCGGAACGAAAAAAAACTGCTGTCGGCGGTCGCCCCCGCACTTTCCGAGCTTTTTTCTGTCGAACCGATGCGCTTCCTTTGCCCTGGCCACAGCCAGGGGAGCGGCAGCTGCATCGCGGGCCCGCGAGCAAGGCGGGCTGGACGCCAGAGGGGGCGTGGCCAAGCGGGGATGTGCCCAGCAGCTCACATTGCTGATTCTCCGAGGGCCCCCTGGCGCCGAAAGCGGCCATGCATCGCGGACTGGCCCCTCGGCGGGCCGACCAGAAGAAGCTGCGCGCAGCAGGTTTCGCCCCCCCCCCGCTTTCCTTCCCCAGCATTTCGTCCGACCCGAGCAAGGCGGGCAGAGCTCCTCCCCCCTTCTGTCGTGGTCTCTGTAGTCGGCGACGACGACGACGACGACGACAACGACGACGAGGACGAGGACGAGGACGACGAAGACGAGGACAAAGACGAGGACAAAGACGAGGACGAAAACGAAGACGAAAACGAGGACGAGGACGACGGACGGCGGACGGCAAACGGCGACGGCGGCGACGACGACGACGACGCACTGCGGATGCCCTATGGGGGGGTGGGGGAGTGCTGCGCAGGCACGCTGTAGTCGACGACGACGACCACCACGACGACGACGACGACGACGACAACGACGACGACAACGACGACGACAACGACGACGACGACAGCGGCGACGACGACGACGACGACGCTGAGGGGAGGAACAAAAATTCGCCTCCTCCTCCTCCTCCTCCTCCTCCTCCTCCCTCCTCCTCCTCCTCCTCCCTCCTCCTCCTCCTCCCTCCTCCTCCCTCTCCCCCTTCCTCCTCCTCCTCCCTCCTCCTCCTCCTCCTCCTCCTCCCTCCTCCTCCTCCTCCCTCCTCCTCCTCCTCCTGCTCCTCCTCCTCTCCTCCCCTCTCCTCCTCCTCCTCCTCCTCCTCCTCCTCCTCCTCCTCCTCCTTCTCCTCCTCCTCCCTCGTCCCTCCTCGAATGCAAAGCCGCGCCGCGCCGTCCTGCGGCGGCTCCGCGCGCGGCTCTCGCCCTGGCCGGAGTCTGCTGGCCGCGGCAGGCCGTCGGCGGAGCGCCCGCGCCCCACGACGGGCGGGCGCCTGGCGGGTCGGCGGGGCCGTCGTCGGCGGGCTCGAGGATCGAGGCGCGAGGATCGAGAGGGGTGGGACCTTCGCCGCGACGTCGGGCGCGGCCAGGACGAGGATCAATATGTTCCGGAGCGTTCCGGAACGCTCTCAGAACGTTCCGGACCGCCCTGGGAAGGCCGCGGCGCCTGAGACGTCCTCCAGAGCCGCCAGATCTCAGAGATTCCCAATTTAACCTCACCCGATCTTATCCTCGTTCTGGCTTCGCCGTCCGACGCGCAGAGCAAGCGCTCCCAACCGGATCGTCACCGGGGGATCGCGAGGGATCGGGGGTTGAGACGGATCGAGAAGGATCCGGGATCGGGGAGCGAGGATCGAGGCTCGGGGATGCGGGATCGGGGATCGAGGCTCGGGGATCGAGGTCGAGAAGGACGGGGGGTCGGAAGGGATCGGAGATCGGAGGTCGGGGGGCGAGGATCGAGGCTCGGGAGTCGGGAAGGGGGGATCGGGAATCGAGGCTCGGGGATCGGGGATCGATGCTCGGGGGTCGAGGATCGAGGATCGAGGGTCGAGGATCGGGGGTCGAGACTCGGGGATCAAGGATCGTCGGTCGTCTGTCGTCTGTCGTTGGTCGTCCGTCGTCGTCGTCCCCGCCATCAGCGTCGTCGTTCGAGGATCGAGGATCGAGCGTTGAGGTTTTGAGAAGTCTTTCGCAAAGCATTTGACAGGGTTGAAAAGCCGGCACTGTTCCGCGCTCTCCAAGCGCAGGGACTCCCCTCTGGATATTGCCAAATATTGCGAACGCTGTACAAATCTCAAACAAGTGTCTTGGGTAATGATTTCTGGTTTCCTATCACCCGGGGCGTCAGACAGGGCGACGTACTATCTCAGCTCCTGTTCAACAGTGTCCTGGAAGCTGCTATCCGCGAGTGGAAGGCGAAGCTGAACGGCCATGGCATGGCTGTCTGTTCGGACGGAAGCAAGGAGCGTCTGTCGAACATTCGTTTTGCAGACGATTTGTTACTATTCGCCAGCAGTATGGAAGGGGCTGTGGACATGCTAGACATGCTCACGCAGACGCTTCGCAATTATGGTCTGGAGCTCAACGTGAAGAAAACGAAGATGTTGTCGACGACGGTCACGGAGAATGACACTGTTCTGATCGAAACTGCCGATGGGTCTGTGGAGCTTGTGGCTG